AGCTTATTCACATGGCAGGGGTCCCAAGAGACCAAGCAGAACATGCAAGTTTTCTTGATGCCTCAGCTCAGACTGGCACACCATCCTTCTTGGATAAAGCAAGTCATACATCTGGCCTACATACAAAGGATGAGAACTCTACCTCTTGACAGGTGGCAAAGTCATAATGTAAAGTAGGGTATATTGAGAGAAGAAAATAATTGTGACCATTTTTGCAGGTAGTCAACTATGACTCCTTGGGAGGACGAGCAAGGGTCATTTTCACTAAGAGAAGGGCATGCTTTTCAACTTTTTAAGGTGATCAGATCCTTAGAGCAAAAGGATGGACAGAGGAGATTGTTTATGCTTAATGGAAGCACACCTTGACTAAATCACCTATTTTTTAAAATGGTGGAGAAAGGATTTAAACCAAATTCAGTCTGACTGGAGAACCCAAGCTCTTACCCACTAAGCTTAATGCCTCTGAATTCTTCCACATTAATTTCTCTTTCCACACATCATCTTCTGGATGGTCTTAGCTTCAGATTTTTAAGAGCAGTCATGAGACTTTGGGCACAAATATAACAGCTTCTTTTGGAACTAGTTTTGAAACATCTCATTGTTGAGCCAAGAGCCAAAGTCCTCACAAAAATGCCAAACCTTATGTCCAGCAGAGACCTAATTATCATCTCCAAGGTGAGATCTGAGAATGCATTTTAAATACTCTTCTCTCCTGTGTACACTGTTATTTTGAAAACTGCCTGTGGGAACACTGTTTAGCACTCTTTACTATCCTTCAGCCTCTAATTGCAAACTCCACTAATGGCCTGCAGGATGCAGACCACATCTTCTTAAGGAAACATAGGCTTCTTTACCCTGTCATCAAGCAATAGTGAGAATAAATTCTCCCAGCCTTTCTGTAAAAGTCTACAACTCATTCATAATAGTTTTGAGGCTACCTAAGTGGAGCTAAGGATCACCACCCCAAAACCCTGGTTAAGCAATTATCTACTGAGCAAAGATGAAAGCCCAGGTAGCACTCTCCTAAGAGCTGTGCCCATGGTTCAGCCTTGGCCCTTTGTAGCTAAGAGCATGGACCAGTATTTACACCCTCTTCAGGGACTATAGGGAGATCTCTTCTCTTTCACATGTCAATATGGATAAATTCCACTCCTGGGGCTGGTAGCTCAGTGGCAGAGCTCTTTGCCTAGCACGTGTGAGGCCTGGGTTGGATCCTCAGCAGCACCACATAAAATTAAATAAATAAATAAAAATTAATGAATAAATAAATATTCTGTCCATCTACCAAAAATAAATAAATAAATAACAATAAGTCCACTTCTTTTCAGGCCTAAAGGGAAACAGACCATCCATGAACTAAATCTCAGGGATTTAAGAAATAAATGTATAGTCCAATAGGGTGATTATATCCAAACTTGAAGGTTAACTACAGGATGAAGATAGAATAGTGGAGCAAACATGAGAATCCCATTTGCAAATGAAAACGGCCTGTGATCTCTTGATAGGATACTGAGAAGACAGGAATAATGACCATTAGAGTCCCAAATGATATAAAGATGTTCATTAAAACCTCTGTGTTTTGGAAAAAAGGTAATGTTCAGTTGCTTTTGATCCTCTTAATAGAGCTGGCAATCTGACTCCTACTTGTCTCTCACTTTCTAGAACCATCTATTCAATTTGAACCAGAAACTAGGATAATGGTTTTCATGTGTCCAACAGATGAGACATGCATAAAGCAGAACTAAGCAACAGTAATTCCACCTGAACTCATGACTCCTTGGGGTCCTAAGCAAGGGTCATTTTTATTAAGAGAAGGGCATGCTTTTCAACTTTTTGAGGTGATCAGATCCTTAGAGCAAAAAAATTAAAACCCAAAGTTAGTTGAATATCTTCAATAACATGTTAGGGGAAAAAAAAAACTGCAATTCAAAGGCTAGAGGAGCCAGGCAGGAATTAACTAAAGGAAGTTGACCAGGTCTAAACTCAAGAAAGATAAGAAATGCTCATCCACATTCAAGGGCAAGTGAAACTCATCTCCTACCATTGGTGTCTCCAGAGTATATGGGACAAATAGGTTTTCTAACAAAGAATCATAAAATCATATACATGAATTTCCTGCTCTTTTAATGTTGGCCTCTAATTCAGTGTCATCTTGAAACACTATGTAGGTCACAAACACACATACACACACACACACACAAAAAAAAAAAAAAAAACCTAAAAATGATACCTGCAGGCTGGATGCAACCCTTGGGCTACCAGTATCAACTTTAAATGAGTCAAATAAAATACCCAAGAAACCTACTAAAATCTGCCATTCCTATAAAGCTTCTGGTAGAAAAATTTGATTTTTGCTATGCAAGACTGCTCTTGAACTCATTAACTGTAATTCATGCAGTAATTCAAAGAATTCAAAGAATTCAAGAACTGTTAGGAAACTGAAAGGGACAAAGACACAGAAGCCACCCACAGTCAACCTGTTGGTTATCTCCAAGTTGCAAGCTAAACTACCATGAGTTAACTCAGATTTTTAGTGCCATCCATGGTGTGATAATTCACCTCCATAGTGACAAGGGTCACAGGGATGAATGGCAGCAGTAAATTTCTTAAAAGATGAATTTTCTTTTCTTAACTTGAATGAGAAACATATACAAATGTTGCCAAAAGTTATACATTATTTCCCTTCCCCATATATCTCAAACTTAATTTTGGTATTCTTGATCTGAATGAATGAAAAACAATTATGATTCTTTGATAATGTCTTATGATTTCATTAAGGTACAAAAGACTAAAATAAATGATAGAAAATTTTTGAGTTATAATGGGCTTAGAGAACATTGTCTTGCTCCTTGAACATATAGAGTAGGAAGTTGAGGCTTGACCCAGAGTCAAATGGCAATCAATAATTAGGATCCTTCTTTCTTCCTAAAAAAAGTGTTGACTAGGGACCAGATCATCCTGAAACATTTCAGTAATCCCTGCCTACCACATAAGGGTAGAGTTTTGAGTCCAGAGAAAAACACAGAGAAAATCTTTTAGGATCAGTTTTCTTCTTAACTTCTGTTAACCATAATCAATTTAATCCAATATTCTAATTTTTCAAATTATTTGTACATACATTAGCTAAACTTAATTTTTTAGCCCTACAGTATTTACACACATGCTAACCAACCATGATGACTTCCAAATCTTAGAGGACTAGGAATGGAACATTTTAGTAAGGGTTTCACCCTCCACCCTGCCCAAGAACATGTGAAAGTAGTTAAATATTTTCAAGGACATATCAGTGGGCTAAGCTTGTGGGAAAGGTTTTTTGATTAAATTAATCTGATTCCCAAGTCACTCTCAGTATATCATCATGGGTATTGAGTAGTATAAATAGATTTGTATGTCATTGTATTTTGAGTAGGGTATAATAGGCATTTGAAATGATTTATATTAGGTTTACTTTGAACCCTAATAACTCTATGAAGTGTGTATCACTATCCCAATTATGAATGTGAACAGACTTGTTCCACAACTTGAGATGAGAAATCTATATTCTCAACCCACTTAATGCCAGTTTGTAGAAGCTCTCACTGAAGTGTGTTTATAACACAAAGGTGTACACATTGCCAATATAGCAATATTAAGGGTTGTCCCAAGTACAAATTAAACAAGACAGTATTGCATATAACAATCTGACCCTAAATCCACAGGAAGATAACATCACTTTTGTGCCCATTAAGTTCCTTTTCTTGGAACCTTCCAATCAGCACCAACCTCCTACCCTTCCTCTCTCAGAGAGTGGCCTTGTGCATCAATGCATTTATGTATAAATGAATTATAGATCCAGTCCTGTGTTAATTCACTAAGAGAGCTGGGGAATTAAAGTTTCATTGAAGTTAAAAAATCCCTTTCCCCTTTTTATGTCATGAATCTTTAAAATAGACATCCATGCATTCAAGTTGCTTAAAGTCATGCCTAACTTAGGAAGAAAAGTAATTTGTTTTAAAATTGCCATTGAATTTTTAAAAAGGCAAAAGGAAATATGACTCTAGTAGTAGTTCTACAAACTGAACAACACCTGTCCATTCCAGTCAAAAGTACCACCCCACTTCTTAAGACCCAGACTAATCTGTTTCATCAAATATCATTTAGAGGTGGAGGTCACTGGTGGTGCTGGATTTTTCCTGAGCTGCAAAAGAAATCTGATGTCATATAAGTCACTGGCTGTAGTTACTGCCTTTCTTATTGTCCAGGAGGAAATAAAGTTTGTAGAGAAGTAGTTTCTATTTTCAAAGCATTGCTGCTTTAATTTCAGTGATTAAATGAAGCGGATCAGAAAACATTTTAAACATCTGTAAAACTGAAGGCTAGAACTCCTGAGTGCTCTCATCATCCTCATGAGTATATTTGAAAAGAAAGTCAGTGAAAATACCTAGTGATATCAATTCAGATTCAGCTGATGGGGACAACCTGGGGTGGAACAATGCTATTCAAGACATTCCAAAATGTTCCAGGTGTTTAGAATCCATTTCACATAATTTCTTCTCTTTTGGAAAATATACATAAATACTTATATATGTGTATGTGTGTGTGTGTGTGTGTGTGTGTGTGTGTGTGTGTGTATAGTGGTTGCACTTTAGGGTTTGAAGACTGGCGTGTAGAAGGTACAATTAGAGCAGTCTCCAGGATAGCAGGAGATGAATAGGTAGGAATCATATGAAAACATGAAGCAAAGACTTTGAAATGTTTGGCACTGCCTGCCCCGAGCAGCTTTGCTTTTTGAGGTCAGTGTGTTCATTAGATAGATTGGGGCTTCCTGGCTGGGCATGCCCTGGAACAGAAAATTTGCATTGGATGAGACTGAAAGTCTATGTTAGCTCTCAGACTCAATTACTTTTTCTTTGACTTTCCAAAGACCCTGCAAAAGCTGGTGACATGATGCCAGCCCAATGGTATTAAGTACTAGCCGTGATAAAAGTCCAAATCATAACAGCAAATTCTTCTTGTTCCAGGAGCACAGTACCATGCAGAAGTTACATTGCACGCAAGTTGACAAAATTGTGGCTCAGTACGACAAAGAGAAGTCCACTCATGAGAAAATCCTGGAGAAGGCAATGAAGAAGAGGGGGTAATGCTGCTTATTTTCTTCTGGAGACTTTTTCACTTTTTATATTTTACCTTTTCCCACAGTACAGCTGCTTGTTTATGCCAAGGAAGAACTTAGTGTTGGCTCAGTTTTTGTCATTAAAAAGAGCTCCTGAAAAATGAGACTCATTCATGTTTTACACCCTAGCATCCAAATAGGGCAAGGCATCGGTCCATTTTACCTTGGTTTAGGAACCTTTCTCAACAGAGGCCCTGAAACCTACTCATTCATTGTAATTAGATCTAATACAAAAAAGAAATCTCAGCCACAAGTAATGGAAAAGAAAATACTTTTCTATTCTGAAAATTGCTTCCACTTTTTATTTTAGGAATAATGTTAAACTTACAGAAAAGTTGCAAAAATACAGAATAAACCCCCTTCTGTGCAGTTCCACTTCCTGTTATTTCAGTTCCTGTGGTCAACTGCAGTCCAAAAATATTAAATGAAATATTCTAGAAATAAGCCTCAAATTTAATTAACTTTCATTACAGCATATAGTTCTAATTGTTCTATTTTAATATTAGTTACTGTTGCTGATACTTTATTGTTCCTAATTTATAACTTAAATCTTATCATAGGCATGTAGGTATAGAAAACATAATACAGTTGAGTTTGGTACTATCTGTAGTTCCAGGCATTCACTAGGGGTCTTGGAACTTGTTTCCTGTGGATAAGGGAGGACCACTGTAGTACAGAGAAATCCCATATGACCTTAAGGTAGCTTCCCCAAAGGTTTACATCTCATATAACCACAGTACAATGATCAGAGCATGAAATTCACATTGGAATAATACCACTCATGAAACTCTATTGCTCTTTCAGGGTTCTCCAGATTTCCCAATAATTCTGTTTTTCTTTTCTGGGATCCACTCTAGAATTGCACATTGCATTTACTTTCTTCTCAGTCTCCTCTAGTCTATGAGAGTCTCTCCCTTTCAATTTGCAAGGGTTCTGCTCAGTTATTTTGTAGAATGTCTCTCCTTTTGGATTTAATGTTTTCTCACGATTGGAGGGAGGGCATGCATCTTTAGCCAGCACACCCAGAAGCGATGCTGCTTCCGTGCCAGCTCTTGATGTCAGGGGTATGTGATGATCTATCTCATTGACAGTGATGTTGATCTGGATCACTTGGTTGAAGTGGTCTCTGATAGATTTGTACACTGTAACATGCACTGCTTTTCCCTTTACCATTAATCTGCATCTTCAGGAAGATACTGTAAGACTAACACACATTCTGTTTCTATGAGGAATTGTTTTGGGTCCAGTCATGTCTTCCTTCAGTAGATTTCCTTCAAATTTTACTCTCCTTCCTCAAATCCCTGCTATCTTCTAGTCTTTCACAATCTTTGGAGTGTGAGAAAAGAAGAAAAAAGAATTACTTTTCCTTTCTCTTGATTCTTTCTTTTCTTTTTGAAATTCACTCAAGATATACCTACAAAACTAACACTCTGAAAACAGAACCAATTACATTTATGTACAATTTCTGGTTCCAGAGATCTAATTTTATGACACAAAATAAATATAATTTGCTTGAGGAGTAAGTGGTAGGTAATTACATACACCGTCCTAATGTCAAGCCTCATCTTTTGAGAGGTAACTTCATATTGATTACAGCTTTATTTTCCAGAAAAATACAAATTAGACATAACTACAGAGCATTAGCATTATGCACAGTGAGCCTTTTGTTTTTGCTGTTGTTTTCACTGTGTATCACTGCAGAAGAACCAGGGCTTTGAAAACATTTCGACACATATTTAAGTGAGTCAGGCACAGCTCATGGCTTATGTGACCATACTGCTGGTGGTGAATATGATACATTTTGAGAAGCTGTGACTGTTTAGACTTCTGGCTACATTAGCAGCTTTTATTTGACAGATTTATTTATTTATATATTGGTAATCTGTTTTCTTATTTTCAATGAAATTTTAAACCAAAAAGTGAAAGGGAGGTAGACAGATCCAAATGACATGTTTTAAGAAGGAAATTTTGGAGAACTTTAAGGTCCTCTCCAAGAATAAGCATTTTAATTCACAAGTCAACTTTTCCCAGAAATGCTCTATGTATATTTTAATGACTATATTGGAATTTTTTTTAAAACCAGAATCTTTATGTAGGAGATATTAGACTGGAACATCATCTTCTCTTTGTTATTAAGTATTTGACAACTTTCTAAATCAACAACACTGCATCTAGAAAACAAAGATGTATCTTTACCTTGTTATTGTTCTTACTCCCAAAGGTTAAATGGAGTCAAAGTAACATTTCATAGTTTTTCCTCCTAGGACTCTTAGTGCCCTAGTCAGCCTTGGAGGTCTTGGAGGTCTCTCAACAAATGAATCTTGTAGACAAGATTATAGAATCTATAGACTTTATAGATTTCTTCTTTCTTTAAAAAAATATTTTTAGTTGTAGATGGACATAATACCTTTATTTTGTTTATTTAGTTTTTTTATGTGGTGCTGGGGATCAAACCTAGTGCCTTAGGCATGCTAGGCAAGCACCCTAACACTGAGCCACAACCTCAACCCTATAGATTTCTCCTTGAGCCCCATATTGCCAAACACATGGCCTCAGGGCTCTGCATAGAGAACATTTTCCCAATACTTAAAATAATAGAAGTCTAAGTAATACACTAAACATCACTTCAGATGGGTGCAGTGGCACACACCTGTAATCCCAGCAGCTCAAGGAGACTGAGGCAGGAGAATCGTAAATTCAAGGCCAGCCTCAGCAACTTAACAAGGCCCTAAGCAATTTAGGAAAACCCTGTCTCAAAAAATAAAAAGGGCTTGGAATGTGGTTCAATGGTTAAGCATCCCTGGGTTCAATACCTAGGTCCAAAGAAACAAAAAATTAACTTCAAAAATTAGACATCAGATACTCTCTTCTGGAGAGCCATATTCTAAGCAGAGTTCCCGAGTGTTACTGACCATGGTATCAAGGTTGTCAAGATTATTGACTATAAACAAGTTGGGAAGACATGCAGGAATGGGGAAACTGATTATGAAGTCGTTGGAAATTTCTTAAGCAGAATTCATTTCTGAAGCAACTTAAACCATCTGTTCGACATAGGATTTTTCAACTTTATGATGGTATGAAAACAAGATGGCTCACTAGAAACCCTATTTTTGTTGTTTTAATTAGCTACACATGACAGCACAATGATCTTGACATATTACATTTGAATCAAATGGGGTATAATTTCTCATTATTCTGAGTGTACAGGTTGCAGAATCACATAGGTCATACTAGTGTCTATTTTATTCTGCTGTCCTTCCTATCCCCCCTTCCCCTCACCTCCTCTCCCATCACTTCTCTCTACCCAATCTAATGTGACACAATTCTTTTTTCCCCCCTCACATCATTATACATGTAATCTGTATGACAATGAGGGTCTCCTTCCTTCTTCTGTGCATTTCCCCTTCTCCCTTCTTTCCCTCCCACCTCTCTTCCCTATTTAGTAGTAATCTTCTTCTCATGCTCTTCCTCCCCATCCCATTTTGAGTCACCCCCCTTATATCAGAGAAGACATTCAGCATTGGTTTTTTAGGTATTGGCTAACTTCACTTAGCATAATCTGCTCTAATGCCATCCATTTCCCTGCAAATGCCATGATCTTGTTATTTTTTAGTGCTGAGTAATATTCCATTGTGTATAAATGCCACATTTTTTATCCATTCATTCATTGTAGGGCACCTAGGTTGGTTCCACAGTCCATCTATTGTGAATTGTGCTGCTATAAACATTGATGTGGCTGTGTCCCTTGTAGTATGCTCGTTTTAGGTCTTTTGGGTATAGTCCAAGAAGGAGAATAGCTGGGTCAAATAGTGGTTCCATTCCCAGCTTAGAAACCCTACTTTGAATTTTAAATTTCAGTCATTGCCTGGGCTAGCAGTTTGCCATGCTGAGCAGCAGCCTCCAGAGAAACACACCATCACAAGGGGAAATATTTGACTCCACAGTGAACTGTGCTAAGCCAGGATGTTTGAGAGGTTAGATGAATGAGATGCATTTTCGACTTACGTTGAATCTAGCAGGTGTGACCCCATCATAAGTCAAGACTCACTTGGAAAAGGTTTCCTTACTTTGCCTACTCAGTGAAGGGAATGATTGAAATGGGGCGGGGAGGATCTAAAAGTATTCAGCAGCCATTGCCTAATGATATGATAACTAGGTCTCTCCTGTGTTTTCTACTCAACATCTTTAAGGTAGCAGGGAAAAGATGAATGGGGAAGAACAGGAAGGATGAGATGAAGTTGGGGAAATTCAAAATTACAGAAGTTACTTTACATAGCCAGAAAATAAATGAGATGATGCGAGATGTGAAAAAAGTGCAATCCTGATTTTTAATATTACAGGAGTGCTTAGAATATGTCCAGACCTGAGACCATTGAATACCGTATACCATTGCACTTACTGTGAAAGATGTTGTCTAGAAAAACGCAGGACAGTGCTTCAGTAATACTGAAGCTCACTGAAAAACAGACTAGAAAAGAAACATACTGGGTGCCAATCCCGAAGAAGGAACGGATTTGATGAAAGATGTTGCATTTTTAGAGTAATGCATCTTTCAGAGGAATGCTCAATTAATAATATAATGAAACATTCTGACTTGGGTTGTAATAAACGAGAACATAATTGCTGAAAACAGAAGCTCAGGACTTGTTCTTGTTTTAGCATCAATATGGAAAGGAAAACATCATCATTGAAATATGCAGTAATGGTTGCTGGGCAATTGCCTAGAATCTATTTCTTACAATCGAATAAGAAGTAGAAATTACCCTGTGATGCCAAGAAAGGCTATTTTCTTCCTCATTGGCATACATAAAAGGCAGAAATCTGGCTTTATAACCAAAATATAAGAATTAAAAATTCACTTCCAGGATAAAGACCTATTTTCCAGTTTTCATCCCAAATAATATTTTCTTGAACAAATGAAAAAGAGCTTGAAGAAAAATAGGAACCAAAATGGAAACTCTGACAACAGACCCTTAACAATGAAATAATTACTAGGTCTGAAGCATCTCTTTGTGTAGCAGTTGAATTGAGTAATCATGATACAAATAATATTTTGTAAGGTGTGAATCTATTACTAGAAAAACTGATGCCACCCAATGAGCCGTAGCATTCCAGTTTTGATGAATAGATTGTCTTCATCAGAAAGCTTTGTTCCAAAGGCCCAAGGGAATTGGGAGAGATCTAATTTATGGCATGCATTTGCAATTTTCCATTTTCAGGGGAAATAATTGTCTTGAAATGAAAAAAGAAACAGAAATTAAAATTCAGACCCTGACATCAGATCACAAATCAAAGGTAAGGAAATGCCCATTTTTATACAGAAGATACTTGGTAGTTTTTTAAGTAGGATACCTGATACCAATCAGAAATAATAGTAGCCTGGCTCTGGTCTGGGAAGAAATGGGATCCAGAGATAGTGTTTGCTGCAGATTTATTGGTTTTGAGAAGAACCACTCCATGGAACATGTTTTTGTCTTATCTATGGAAATATGCTAACAAGATTTATTTTCCCTCATTCTTAGTCCTCACATGAAATCATACATAGAGAGTCCAGAAGGAAATACTCTATAAAATTCAGAAGGTAGAAGTAACAGAAAATGTATGAAAGAAAACCATCCAAATTGGATGTTGAGTACCTGTTCGATACTTATTCCATCCTGCTGTAGAAATTTGGAGTGAGAAAAACCAAGAGTCAGTGTACTAAGAGATGAACATAATTCCTTATATTTCCCCCAAGACAGGAAAAAATAAATTGAAAGACCTTACTTAAGGTTATGGGTATTTGGAGACCTAAATGCTAAGACTCAATGAAGAGCAGAAACAGTTCTTCCAGCAATATTAAATTTACAAGAAAAAAAAATCTGTGAGTCTGATAGTACTCATGTGCAGGCCTCACCTCTGAGGATTGGCTGGCTGCTGGCTGTCTTTTTCTTCTTGACCTCTCAGCCTCCCTCAGGCTAGCACAGGTTGCCACAGGGTGCCAAGCATGACAGAAGTATAAGCACTGCCCAAGCCTCTGCTTGCATCATGTTGGCTCTTATCTCATTGGCTGGAGGAAGTCAGAAAGTCAGCCAAATTCAAGGATGTGGAGGAATAGATTCTAGCTGTAGACAAGAGGAACATTAGTACCACGTTGCAAAGAGGGGAGGACATCTACCCGCACATGTATTAGGGATGATGCAGTAAGTCATGATCCAGAAATAATGATGCCACAGCTCTCTGTTCAGACCTGTTACATGATGAAAACGAAGCAGGTAAAGCATGAAGTCATGGAGAGAATGCTGGTGAAATTGATAAAGGAGCCCCAGGACCAGACACTACCAGAGCATGGGCAAGTTAAGCAGTGAAATAATAGGTCCCAGTTAAATATTTACAACCAAAGTGCTTGATTTATGTTAATAGGCAATGACTTCCTAATTCCCCTTGATTAGTACTTTTATTTTTATTTATTTGTTTACTTATTCTTTTGTAGTTATAGGGGTCAGAGGGATCTGCCGTGCATGAATAATATTTTGCTTTCAGTTTGTACCTGATCAATGAGCATTCTAGATTACCACATCTCCTTTCCACCAAATAGGTCAAAGAGATTGTAGCACAGCACACAAAGGAGTGGTCAGAAATGATCAACACCCACAGTGCTGAGGAGCAAGAAATACGGGACCTGCACCTTAACCAGCAGTGTGAACTACTGAGAAAGCTACTAATCAATGCTCACGAGCAGCAAACCCAGCAGCTGAAACTGTCCCATGACAGGTAGGAGAGTCAGCCATTTCCAGAGTAAACTGCTAGTTTTTAAAAGAGGTTGGTTGGTTGTAGGTGCTCGTGTGTGTGCACACGTGTGTGCACGTGTGCGTGCACATGCACACTTGACATACAATGTTAAGCTTTTATGTACATTCTTATCATACAGTTGGTGTGAACAAGGTGAACTATAAGAAATGGCTTCTGCCATCAGAGAGCTTACAATTATTGGCAAGATGTTACGTTTACATGAAAAGTTAAATGAAATTGCAAGTAGGATATGATACATACTACAAAATGTCACAGACACTAAGGGCATCCAGCCCAAAGGTGCTTTACGTGCTGGCTGCTGGCTGTCTTTTTGAGTGATCCCGAAGGCTGTATAGATGTAGGGCTGGAATTGGCCTTTGAAAAATGATCCAGAAGAAGAAAAAACACTGAGGGAGAAAAGACCAACCAGTGGAGCTCCCCGAGTTATTCTCATCACTTGGTTACTAACTTGGGAGCGAACCTCCTCTCCTCTTCCTCACATTATTAGGACTTCTGTGAATGTTAGGAAGACAAGCCTAGTCAAAACACAGCAAAAAATATATATATATAGCTTCCTTTGCCTCTCCCTACTTCAACAAAGTAAATATTGTATTTGAACTATCGCCCAGGTTGAGCTGGACTTTCCCCTGGAAAGAAGTGTTTGTGTCAATCACATTTGTTCACCCCAGCTTGACTACAGCTCGCTCGCTTCCTTCTTGGAGCCTGCTGTATGCCACAGTTGGGACATGTTGATGTCCACAAAGAATAAAAAATACAAACATTATACAAATAAACAACATGCTTTTAAAAATGTCAACTGCATAAATTCTTGAGTTTCATGTCCAAGTTCCTAGCCCTATTTTACAATGATAGAAACTTCCACAGAGAATTCTCTCTCTCTCTCTTTTTTTTTTCCTTCCCAGTGGTGGTGCAGGGGTTTGAACCCAGGGCCTTGTGCATGCTAGGCAAGCCCTCTACCAGCTGAGCTATATATCCCCAGCCTCAGAAACTTCCATAGAATATAAAGTCTTTTTGCCATAGTTTCTGATTCTCACTTGAGACAACTAGGTAAAGTACAACATGCTGCATCTCCTTTGGGATAATGTCATATACCTCTTGCAGTTGAAAGTATTCTATTTGGTTGCACGGGATTAGAAGTCATCTTTCTCTTTTCCTTAGTAATAATGTTCTTGATTCAATATGCAAAAAAAATCTCATTTCTCATTTCTCATTCTGCCATTGACTGTTGCTACAATGCCAGATTTTAGATGTTTACCTTTATTTAAAGATACTGCACAGCATAAATCACCTTTCTTGTTTCTTTTTCTTTTTTGAAATGATTTCTTCATTTAATTTTGTTGTTGTTATATTGTTTTGTTTGTTTTGAGATAATGTCTCACTAAGTTTCCAAGGCTGTTTTAGAACTGTGATCCTCATGCCTCTGTCTCCTAAGTAGCTGATATTATACCATCATGCCTGGTGGCCGTAAGACATTTTTCTAATCATTTTGTACTTGAATTGTAAAAAAAAAAAAAAAAGACTGGATACGGTGGTGGTGCACTCCTATAATTCTAGTGGCTCAGGAGGCTGACACAGGAGAATCATGATTTCAAAGCCAACCTCAGAAACTTAACAGACCCTGTCTCAAAATAAAAAGTAAAAAGGGCTGGGGATATGGCTCAGTGACTGAGCACCCCTAGGTTCAATCTCCAGTACCAAAAAAAAAAATGCTCCAAACTATAGACATCATCTGAAAAAAAATAGTAAGTAAACTGGTTCTTGTATTACTTACGAAGTCATTTGAAACCACGAACAAGGTACTAATTTTCCTTAAAAAATAAATCCACAACATCTTTCAAAGCAAGAGCAGTGTTTTAAGTTTTTTTCTAAAGTACCTGGTGGTCGAGTTTCATTTTTACTGTTAAAACTGTTGTTCTTGTTTACATAAACACTTGTCAGCAACATTTGGTCATCAGTGAGTTTTTGTTAAATGAATGAATGACTAAAGAGATAAAGAAATGGTCAATTTACTAACAAGTTATGGAAAACTTTGAGAGCATTTTCCTTGGACCCAGAGTCTCTCTGCTTATTCTTGCTGCTGTGGCTCTAAGGTAGCTGACTGAAGAACTCTCAGAGTTGTCCATTGTTTTTGATGTGGAGCAAATCACTGTACTTAGGTTAGCAGATGTCCGATGCCAAGCATGGTTTTAAATTTTCCATAGATTCCAGAAAAAAAGTCTGTGTACTCAAATTCATTTTCTTATTCTAAATTCTATATCCTTATTGTACATACAGATAACCTAAATATAGGAATGCTCATTAGGCCCACCTGCACACACTCATGCACCCAGTGATGTCACTGTAAAAAAGGTGCTTTTCTGTGCCAACATAAAACCATTTATTCCACTTCATTCCCACAGACTGTCAGCAAAGGCACTTCTTTGTGAGGGTTAGAGCACTCTTTCTCTCTTCCAGCCCATCTGGTCTCAAATAATGTTGGGCTAAGCTACAAATGCTTGTATTTATAGACAAAGATGTCTCATCTTTACAGGACACCACTGTCACTTCACCACTAGGTGGCCCAATGCCCCTCAAGGATCCATAAGAGTTGGGATTTCTTCTCTCTTTTTCCAAAATACAAAAACGACTTGATAAGATCAACAATGAGAAGAATAAGTGGGCCTTGTTCTGTTATCACATATACAATTTGTTCTTTGTTAACTTTTATATTTTTAAAATTATGGTTAAACATATAACATAAAATGTAACATTGTAACCATTTTTAAGCAGGTGGCATCAAGTACATTGACATTGCTGTGTACCTGTCATGGCTACCCATTTCCAGAACTTTTTCATCTTCTTCAAATGAAACTGTACACATTTAACACGAACTCTCCATCCCTTTCTCCCTCTGTTTTTCATACAACAGGGAAAGCAAGGAAATGAGAGCCCACCAGGCCAAGATCTCTATGGAAAACAGCAAAGCCATCAGCCAAGACAAATCTATCAAGAATAAAGCAGAACGGGAAAGGTGAGTCTGAGCACACTCCCTGGAGAAATAGATCCTGACTTGAAGACACAGTCGCGGCACCGTTTGTGTGTGTGGACACACATACTCATCTGAAATAGAAAATTCTAGTGTATTCTGGCTAGGAGTTCAGCTATTATAGCTACTATTGAGATTTATTATTATTGCTGTAGAACAGTATTTGGCAAAGTTTCTGAATGTTTACTACAACCAGTAAAATAAGTGTGCTTTCAAAATATGTGTGTTTATTTACACACAAAATTTTATAAAATTTGATATAATAATATAACTCCAAAACATCCTTCTCGTGTTTCATTGGGTCAGCTTGCGAGGATCTCACCTGCTTGGCTGTAAGTACACTCTGGATGGGACTGTTCTGATAGCAGGAGGGCAGCCTTCTTCCCTTGATTTGAGATGTTCTTGATACCATGGATCACATATTTTTTTTTTCCTTTTTCCAGGGATTATCTTAAAAGCTCACACTCAGTTTTCTGGTTTGCCCTTATGTTAGGTGGGTTTTCTAGAAAGAGAGATAAAGACAGGAATCCAGGGGTCTTCAGCAATGGGATATTAGGAAAGCACTATGGAGCCAGGGCAGGCCTCAGTAAGGCTGCGGTCCCAGCCAGAGTCCCCTGGTAGCCTGACCCAAAGCTCCATATTATACCTTGCACCCAGATGTGTCTCCCTTTGAGGAAAGGCTATCTGGTTTTCATATTCCATATTGGTCAGTCACAGGCTGCCTGGCCAAGGCTGTGTGTCTTTTAATGAAGGTGCCAGGTGGAAGCCCTTTAACTGCAGCTGGTGAAGGGGCATCTGAGGGGCATCAATCATCATGTTACCCAAGAGAGGGAGTTAACAGCACCTGGTAAGCAGTGATCACGGATAACACCTTCACCACCCACCTCTGAGTATGCTAATCAAGAGGCTGGCTTAGTGCTTAGGGACAGCAGGGTTCCTTGTCCTAGAGGAATGATACATAACCAGAGGTGATCTTGTGGCAGTAGTCCATGTCCCATCAAAAGATTATTTTATGCCCTGCAACGTACAGAACACAGTGACGATTTGCTCTTGGGGATAAAGCAGAAACATGAGCGAGGATTTCAGGTCATTCATCACCCTGTGAGCCATAGGCTGAGCAGTTAGAGGATTGGAAACTACAAAGTAGATCCTCCTCATGTCCCTTTCCTGCTGCCTGACCTTCTGTGGATGCTCACTGGACACTTGTGTTCAGAACACATCAGGACTGCTGTCCACCTACTCGGTGCCACTGATTTTTAAAACACATTTCAATTATTGAATAATGCTAAATCATTCAATTATCAAACTATGATAAAATATAAAGCTTAGTGCCATCTAGCACATTTCTTGTGCTGAAATTTTGTTACAATAAATACTAATTAGAAATAATGGACCCAGGGGCTGGGGTTGTGGCTCAGTGGTAGAGTGCTTGCCTAGCATGTGCGAGGCCCTGGGTTGGATCCTCAGCACCACATAAAAATAAATAAATAAAGTAAAGGTATTATGTACAACTACAACTAAAAAATAAGTATTAAAAAAAAAGAAAGAAAGAAATAATGGACTCAAAATGTGATAGGAAATTCCACAGTAATTTTGACCTGAAAATGGATTTCCTTTCCCACACTTCTCTGTCGATGTGGAGTAGTAAATAAGAAGGCTCTAGGGAGGTTATCAGTCATTTGTACCACTGCTTATATGCAGCATGATGTCATGGTATCTTTCTGGTTCTTGATTATTAAAAGTGCCAGTCTCTGGATGTTATTCTCAAATAAGTAACTTGTTGTAAGTATCTTAGATGAATGAAAATGGCACGATCTACTTCAGCTCAAAAACATAAAATATCTTAGCCATGATTTTTTTAAAAAAATATAAATTCGAATTGTTTTAGACTGTCCAAAGTGAAATAAATAGTTCAACATGATAAAATTTACTAATTGCTATATAGTTCTTTATCTTTTACTTTTTTCAAATATGTTCTAAAGTGGATGTTAGTTCAGCAGGTCAAATTATCTTCAATTATGAGTCACAGCTGACTTAATTAGCAAGTTTTTTTTTTATTGGTTTTTCACAACATTACAAAGCTCTTGACATATCATATTTCATACATTGGAATCAAGTGGGTTATGAACTCCCATTTTTACCCCAAATACAGATTGCAGAATCACATCGGTTACAGATCCACATTTTTACATAATGCCCTATTAGTAACTGTTGTATTCTGCTACCTTTCCTATCCTCTACTATCCCCCCTCCCCTCCCCTCCCATCTTCTCTCTGTACCCCATCTACTGTAATTCATTTCCCTCCTTGTTTACTATCCCATTCCCCTCACAACCTCTTATATGTAATTTTGTATAACAATGAGGGTCTCCCTCCATTTCCATGCAATTTCCCTTTTTTCTCCCTTTCCCTCCCACCTCATGTCTCTGTTTAATGTTAATCTTTTCTTCCTGCTCTTCCTCCCTGCTCTGTTCTTAGTTGCTCTCATTATATCAAAGAAGACATTTGGTATTTGTTTTTTAGGGATTGGCTAGCTTCACTAAGCATAATCTGCTCTAGTTATTTCCTGTATTTTGACTTATATGTATTCTTATAATTTTGTATGCGGTGATAATTGGTTCCCCAAATCAAAAAATTGCTAGATTTAAAAAATAATAATAATTTCTGTATGACATATAGTTAATTACCTTCCAAACACACATACCATATGTTTGTTTGAGTATGTTTCCATTTTACCATGCTGCTGAGAAATAAAATTAAAACTTTATCATAGCACTAAGAAAGACACAGGGACAGAAAAACTATTCTATTCCTGATTCAAAAACATTTTGACAGAAATTGCACAGCATTTATAACTGAATTGGTAAAGCAAGCACTATGTATCGATAGGTTTAAGGTGGCTAAGGTGATGTTTAGGTAAAAAGTAGAGCTGGTGCATGTATTTTTAAAGGTGTGAAAATCAATGAGCTAAACTGTTGAAGAAGGTGTAAAGGTCAAGAAACAGTAAATCCAAATAACTCAAATGGGACAAAATAACAAATAAAAAGCAGAAAGTACTGAAATAGAACAAAAAGCAATGGAGAGCGTCCACAAAAACAAAAGCTTGTGTAAATTTCAGCAAGACAAATCAAGATGAAAAAGAGAAAACACAATTTGGTGATACTGGGAAGGATAGAAGAAAATAACTGCAGAGACAATAAATATTTTTAAAAATCAAGGCTACTATAGACAATGAACTTAAAAACAGGTGGAGTGCAGAAGAACCTAGAAAAAATGCAAATATTCACAACTGACTGAAAATGGGGAAAACTTGAACAGACTTATAACTGTTATCAAAGTTCCACAAGTTGTAGGTCAATTTTGTCATAAAAAACACTCCACCTCACCAGTAGCAATCAGGGAGATGACAATTAAAACAATAGCATAGCCAGGTGCAGTGACGCACACCTGTAATTCCAGTGGCTCCAGAGGCTAAAGCAGGAGGATCTGGAATTCAAAGCCAGCCTCAGCAACAGTGAGGCACTAAGCAACTCAGTTAGAACCTGTCTCTAAATAAAACACAAAATAAGGCTGGGGGTGGTAGAGTGTCCCTGAGTTCAATCCCTGGTACCCTCCCACACCAAAAAAAAAAAAAAATAGATTTGCTCATTTCAGAAGACCATATCCTATCACCTGGCAAGTCTAGGGGTGTGTGTGTGTGTGTGTGTGTGTGTGTGTGTGTGTGTGTGTATACACATACATATATATATGAGTGAAACCGCTAACTTTATTTATTTATTCAACTAACATTTCTTGTGCCAAGTATTGCAGGGCCCTATGTATCAGGTCATTGTAGCATTGTCTGAAAATAACTTATTTTTGTTAATAAACAAAAATGGAAAATGGAAATATTGTAGTCTGTTCATTAATGGAAAAATCCATACAGTAGATGAAACAATGGAGTAGTTTGAAACAGATGTTATCTGTAAAATTTGAGACTAAGTGATAAATTATGGAAAGAAACTGTTTGGGTAAATTTTGAAAACATACAAAGTAATATCAATAGCAATAGCATACCTGGGAGATGGCTAGAAATGTGGAATTGGAAGCTCACCTGAAATCCACTGAATCAGACTTTTTTGGGGGCAGTCTCAGAAAAATGTTTTTGATCTACCTCCAGGTAAGCTGTATGCATGGGAAAGTTTGAGAAGGACTAATATATTTTGCACATAGACACATCCATTTTTAGTTAAAAATATTAAAATATACAAAGTCCCTCACCAAATTCAGAACAGTGATTCACACCTCTGGGAAGAGAGGAAGGAGGGAAATAAAACCAGGATGAGTACAAAATAAGATTTTATTAAATCTGTAATACTTCCTTTATGAGTATTAATACTTCCTATATGAGATCATGGAAGAACACTAATATTGGTTAACCTGAGAAGTATGTACACAAGTAGTTTTTATGTTTTCCTCTGTATGTTGTATGTTTGAAAATGCTGCAATAAAAATTAGGAAAAAGCAGCAATTCTGTTCAGATAATTAAATAGAGTTGTAAGTATCTTACTTGTATAAGCTTTGTTCCCAATAGTTATGCCAACAGTTATTTATATCTATTATTTTTAGGCGAGTCAGAGAACTAAACAGCAGCAACACTAAAAAATTTCTAGAAGAAAGAAAGAGAGTAAGTACTTTATAATTTTCTTGGCACTTTTCCTTGAATAAAAACTGTGGACAATAACTTGTGCTTAGATATCAGCCTCCTAACTTCTAATGTGCTTAATTTGATTTTTTCCATACATTAAACATTACAGCTTCTCTGTTCCATGAAAGCTAATCTCTTTCTAAAATCTTTAGGGTAATTATTTGACAGCATTTTATATAGATTAAGAAGGCAAGTTTCAGTCATATATAAGTACTCTATTATTTTTTAAAGTTCTAGCAGGAAAGATCTTATCAGTAAGAGTTGTGGGCTTAAACTCTCACAGTATTCAGACTGTTTCTTTTTTTGAATTATGATTTTCCTCACTTAAATTATGAACTTAAAAATCATCCCTCATCCATAAGTTTAAAGATTGTGACCCAAAGTTTATCAAAATTTTTTTTTTCTTTTGCAGCTTGCAATGAAGCAATCCAAAGAAATGGATCAATTGAAAAAAGTCCAACTTGAACACCTAGAATTTCTAGAGAAGCAGAATGAGCAGGTATTTTACCTAAAATACATAAAACCATGTTGGCAGTCAACCAATTTCAGTATGCAAATGTCATGGCCCACAAAGACCCTTCTGCTAAAGCCACTGGCCTGCAGAGGGTAATGGGAAGGTGCCTAGAGAATCTGCTGGTTATTTTAACCTATTTTATCAGTTTCATCCAAAAAATACAGAAAGTATCTTTTTTGGAGTATCTGTGGGAAAAAGAAGAAGAATGAGAAATCATAATTTGCACATGTTATGGGGATTCTGAGAATAACATTATTAAAAGTGTGTGAATGAGAAAGCAGGACAAAAATTACTTCTCAGATTTCATTTGGAGATTTATAATTTGCAGCCTCCAGACAAGTGAAATTATATTTAAAAGCCAATTTAAAATTTTTTCTATTTTCAATGTCAGTCCAAAAGTGAAGTTATGAATCCTTCCTAGGATCTAAATTCATGCCTCCAACAAATCTAAAAATCACCCATTGTGAGTGGACACCATACTCTTGGTGCTTCTTCCCAGCAAAGCAAAACACTAAATATCAAATAAATAAAGAGTTATCTAAACTCCATCCATTTAGTTAACAGGATGAGGATAGATGTATTTTTACATTCCAAAGTACAGGTGGGATTCATCCCAAATGGTCTGTAGTCCATCAGCCTTCTACAGCACCATTTCAACTTGATGGAAATTTCTCTAGCTTAAAAGGCAAAATGATCCTCAGGAAGGGTTTAAATTTCAGACTCTGAGTTCAAATTTCACTCTTTAGGTGAAGTTGGCTTGGAAGTTATTCATTCTAGAAATTTACTCCCATTTAGAAACTACATGTACAGAAGTTTCAATGAAATATGTACTTTAAGCACATTGTCCTTCTCTATTTCCTCTTATCTATGAAGCATAATTAAATATATATATATGTATATATATATATATTTTTTCACATTCTCAAAGTAAATGGCTTCCATTGAAAAACACTTAAGTAGGAATTAGATTACAAAGTACCTTTAAGAAAGTAAAACCCATGAAATCTTTTTTTTTTTTTAATTGCATCTGGGCAACCAATCTGATTTCTGGTTTCAGACTCTATTTTTTGGTTGACAAAAGTTTTATTCATCTACATAGTTCTGAATTGTTTCACATTTCCCTTTCTGCTAAGTGCTTCTATTCATGAATAGTTCACCAATCCCCAAAGGAAACCGTCAATGTTTATTGTTCCATAAGTTCAATTCAGTTGACCAGCACATGGCTATGTCACATTCTGGTATGATTTAGGTAACCTGTGTTTTTGCTCTTAAATTTTTCCCAGAAAGTATATCTGGGGAAGTGGAAATGTGAATAAGGGAAAATCATTATCTCTAAAGCTTTAGAACCCTCTTGAGTAATTCAGGAGTAGGTGGAGATAGGATGTCCCGGAGAAAGTTAAAAAAAAAAAAAATCCTTCTTAGGACAAGGGCACAATGAAAGGTAAGGCATAGTTATGCTTTAACTATCTAAATTAAGAAACTACTTAGAAATTATTGTGTTGCTTAGCAACGTATTTGACTAAAGAATGTAAATGTGCTAAAAATTGTTCATCACTACAATAGTGGTGTAGCTCAGAGCTAGAATATACAGTTTTCTAATGTTAGTTTCAGAGTCAGAGTAAATAATTTTTAAAAAATCACTTTGAACGTCTATACGGATACATGATTGATTCAAATCACATTAGAGTTCTTGCATTAAAATACTGAATTAGTAATTGTTGCATGTTAAGAGGATGCTGGCTTTTTGTTCCTAAAACTCATAAAATGCCTTTCAGTGTGTCATAAATTATGTCTACCACCCACAATGGACACTTTGAGTCACAAAAGCTTAGGAAAGCACAGAACATAAAAAACCTTGAGACCTGATAAAGATTTCATGAGATTTAAGGGGGAAAAAAAATTCAAGATACCATACTGATCCTTCTGACAAATATAGAATTTGAACCTGGATTTCTTTGTTGTTTTGCTTTACAAATATGGACTGTCCTATAACTAGTCGAATCCCAGATCTTTCTAGCACTTTTTTTATTTAATTTAGGGGTCCGCTGAGCTGTCAGTTCACAGTTATCTTTCATGGCTTGACACTGTCATAGCCCATAGCCATAAGTGGGAAAGAGGCCATGAGTCCCTTTCTTCCCTCATAAAAGTCAGGTTCTGCACCCATATAGTAAAACTTGTTCATAACCAATTTTGTTTCTAGACCAAAGAAATTAATTTAAACATTTAAATATTTCCCTCTTATGGTTACTTACTGCTTTTCAGTGACCTGGTTCCAAAACATCCTCCTAGCCATCCCCCAGACCAATCTCACAATAAAGCAACTTGACAATTAAGACCCATGTCAAGGGCATTGGGAGAAGCAATACAATCAGTCCTATGTTTAGGTTCTGATTTTGGATCCTACTTTCATATGTTCATTGTAAGCCACTATATGGTTTTGCCTGATTCATCAGCCAGTTGGTCACTTAAAACTCCACAGGCCAGGAAGGTTTTTCCTGCTCAGGTTTACCCATAGACCTCCTAGCTACACGATATCTCATCTGTCTTGACATGTGCCATTTTGAACATTAACGACTCCATTATTGTCACAGTTGAGTCTTAAAAATTAATTTTTGTCATCAATCCTATTGTTTAATAAAGCAAGATAAAGGGTTTGGCTTAAGATTGGGTTCTCTGTTCACTGCCACAGAAGAGACATGCAGTCTGGGCAAATAGGCATTGGATGTTTGATTTTGATTTGTTCTTTTTTTTTTTTTTCTTTTCTGTTGAGATCAACTTGGGACAAGTTTGTCACTGATGGGTGTGTACATGTTTTATTCTTAGGTTTTTCCTTTTCTGTATATGGTTTTGCTTTCATTTCTCAAATTCACTTCAATATTCATTTATTTTCTTTGTTTTGTATGTATGACTCAATTTTGACATTACTATTTTTGTACAAACAGCTTTTGAAATCCTGTCATGCAGTGTCCCAAACGCAAGGTAGGACTGAAACTCTGATGAGCAAACCATTGCTTTCCTTCTCAATTACAGTATTCTTGATGCAACCTCCATTTATGATTCATATCTGGTCATAACTAATATTATCAGGGTTTGGACTTAAAGCACTTGACTATTTCATGCTTGGATTTCTGATATAATATTTCATCTGAAATACTAAAAAAATCTTTAGAGAATTATTTCTGATGGCATTTTAGCCAGCATTTCCAATTGCAGATCTGGGAAACAGGTCATGATAATAAAGACAACCCAGATATTAAGAACAATATTATATATATAAATATATATATTTACACTTGTTATATGGACCCACCATGGCTAAGACTGGGTCACAGAGTCATATTGATTACCATTGTTAATGTGACTACAATTAATATTTAATGTGCCCCACTGAAAATTGGCTATTGTTTTTAATGACAGAAAGTTATGGTCTATGTGCAGAAAAGTTCCATAATATATTTTGTTATACTCTGCTAAGTCCAGTCTGCCAAGGACCCTAGTCACCCCTGGTAAAGTGACCATATCACTTATTGTTTGAGCCAAAAATAAGACATGTTCAAGAAAGGGAGAGCTGTTCATAATAGCCAGGCATGTGGTAGAATTGTCCCAGGCAAATGGAAATGAATGGTCACCCTGCTCATACAAGAATGTAGCTTTCAAAATTATCTTTTAATGTCATACATTTCTTCTTTCTAAGCTATGTTCAATATTGCCTTTAAATGCTAAAGGGGGAGAAGCATAGGGAATCTTTTTACTATTATTAACCAAACATCAAATTATTTAATTTCCAGTGCTGATAATGTTTCACTGTCATCTCTTATGAATACTGTTTGTGTCATGGTTTCATGTTTGTATATTTTTCTCCATTTCTTCATTTTTCTATTAGAGTATTACTATTATCAGTGATAAAAAGAAACATCTGGGTGGAGAGAATCATTCATCCCAAATGTAAACAGATAAATGTAATTCTTTGGTGTTATTATATTCATTCTCAACAAAATGAAATTGAAATCTGTAATATGAAAGAAATAATAAGAAAATCACTATGTGGTCTGTGGGTTGAACTAATTTTTTCACAGAATTTTATCTGAGAGATTATGGGAGTTCTATTATGATCTAGAGTTGACTGAACCTGCCTGGTGATTTTTCAATTTAGTTGGAAATACCCAACAGACATGAATAGTAGCACCAGAGCATTCAGAATCTTCCTCTGATTTATACCTTTATATTTCCATGTTTCCATTCTTACATGCCCTTTATTTCAAAGTGTCACTGACAAAGAAAGGGATGCTTTCTCATCCCTCCAAAAAGCATCGAGACCATCAGTTGGAAAGTAAAAGTTGAAATGAACTTTTTGATTTTTCCCTATGTTGCCCAACAATGATTTGTCACCAGATCCTTCCTCCATCAGATCCCTTTTCACCTCTCAAATCAGCTGATTGTCTTACTGACAGTCTTAATTCATTTTATTGAATTCATCACTGTTCACTTACTTCCTGGCCATCCATAAAGAATGAATTACCCCAGAGAAGTAAGAGCTCCCAGGGATACAGTATGGACAATAAGACTCCTGGACCCCTACATACTCCTATAATGTTCTATTTACATGACACTCTAGCCAAACCAATAAAATATGCTCTTCTCTGACTTTCACCATCAATCAGATTCTCAGGGAATACTTTTTAATAAAATTTTAGGCTATTTGGGGAATAAATTGCACATAAGCAACACTCATTCTAAAAATGGTCCACACACAGTCAAAAGACTTGGTCAAACTATAGAAACTAAAGGGAACATTTTGATGTGAAATAGTCTAGATATCAAGTGACTGACTCAGACTTCTTTTCAAGTGGTTTTCCTGGGGATCTTGTTAAAATGCAGATTTGGATTAAGTAGGTCTTCTGATCTACCAAGACTTCTGAGATTCTGCATTTCTGAGAAGGTCCCAGGGAACTAATGTAGATGCTGCTGGTCCATGGACCACACATTGAGTAGCAAGGATATAGCGACAGCATCACATTTAGGGGAGAAGGGAAGCCAGAATTGTTAAAAATGCCTTTGGGAGAGGATTTCACCTTGTAAGGCCATGTTTCTGGTGTTATAGGCGAAGGAGATGCAGCAGATGGTGAAATTGGAAGCCGAGATGGACCGCAGACCAGCAACAGTAGTGTGAAACTCCAAAATGCAAACTGAAGCAGCAAAACCACAAATCATCAGAAGATTGCACCCAACTTCAGAACACAAACTCCATGGACAAAAGCTATTTTCTTTATGTATAGACAAGATGTTATCTGAAACCACAAAAAAAACTTTGAATGACACATACTTCTATTTATCAGTTTGAGTATTGAATTTTCTTGGCCGAACCAAAAGTAGCTGCAAATCCACAGAAATCTATTCCAGTAAGGCAGAGTTTAACCATTGATAAAACAACTTAAACATGTTTGCTATAAGATATCATCACAAGTAAATGAGCTTGGTGTTAACAACTCTGCTTTGTGATGCATTAGAACATGTTTGAGCTGTAATTAAAAAAAAAAGTGCATTAGCAATTTCATAGCAAGTGCATGCACTATAAGAAAAGCAAAAACTCTGTCTACAAATTCATGAGCAGAAGTGGTGGTCTGCTAAACAAATAATTTTGCAGAATTTTTCTATATCTAAGTTACCTCATCAGTAAGTGCCATGTCTTTACCATGCCGTCAGAAGCTAATTTCCTGTAAAAGTTGTGGAAGTTATTAGAACAATAGAGAAATATAACCGAAGAGTAGACCTGTGCCAAAACTCATCAGTGCTCAGAGGGAAACTCTGTTAGGATCATTTAAGAAAGTTTACATCTGACCCTGCTTTATAGGAATTGCTTCTTCAGATTCCAGATATTAGAATTCACTATTATACCATAAAGATTGTGAAGTGGTTATTGGCAAACGTTTGTAAATGTGATCATGTATAAAGTATTTATACTCCTTAATTCACACTGTTATAGAGCAAAATCATCTAAGTATTGCCACATGACAAGATTAGTACAGGAATACTAGAATACGTTTTGCATGATACACAAGCACCAGTTAAGACTAACTTGTTCAGACACAGTTAACCTAATGCCAAATAAATACTGGTTAAATACATGTATGGCACAGAATATAATTTGACTATCAAGACTTTTAGCATAATGAAAAAGTCTATATATATGTGTATATGAATTATGTGGGCATTCTTGATACTTCAAGTTCTAGTTTGAAAAAAAAACATAACTAATTTAATTTTACACAAAAATATTTATGCAGATTTTCAGAATTTCATATCAGGAAATACCTTTTTATGTCTGTTAAATATTCAAACAATTTGCTACAGTGTTAATTTGCATGGTCCAAGCCTGCTGTAGTTGCAATGCAGAGAGTGCATGAAGAAGTACAGGGCTGGGAAACCTGCGAAGGCACCAAGCCTCAGAAGGGTGCACGGAGACCTGGCATCCTTGAACTAATGAGATTGCTGATTTTAGGACACAAAACACCAACGGAATTGTATATGCTTGTACAGATTGATCCTGTGTGTTCCTCTGAACAAACCAGAGAAAATGATGATATCATCAATACTGAAATTCAACTTCCAACTTCTCTAATAAAAAATGAAAACACATTTAACGCTCGTCAGAGTATTTGCTCCCATGATGCTTGCTCGTAAGCTTTTTGTCTTCCATAAATGATCACTTCATTTTTTTCAAAAGGGGCTTTGTTCATGCTCCTAACAGGTCATGCAATCAAAATGACACAAAATTCTACAAATACACATTCTACTTGATTTCCAAATGTAGTGGACTATTTTTTTTTTCTTTTTCTCATATTTATAATTTTAACTGCCTTCTTTTACAGATGAGAAATTTTATATTTTTCTGGTTTCTATTTTCCTTATCTGTAAATCAAGGGACTCAAATTACATATCTTTCAGCACTAACATCCCATGAAAAGTTGTGGTTAATAGAATGTCACCACACTTGGATTGTCAGTTTTCAAGGATTCTGCGTGGCTTCTCTTTAATTCTAATGGTCTCTTCCAAGAGCACAACCAAGTTCATCCTTCTGTAACCCAGCACCAAATTCATCACTCCCCCCTCTTGTCTCTAATTTTATTAACCTATTTATTTAGGTTCTGGAGATTGAACCCAGGGGTACCTTACCATAGAAGTATCTCTACCCCTTTTCTATTTTTTTTTTTTAATTTTGAGACAAGGCCTCGCTAAATTGATGAGGCTGGCTCAAACTTGCAGTCCTTTTGCCTCAGCCTCCCAAGTCACAGGGATTATAGGTGTGACCCACCATGTCCAACTGGTTTCAGCTTTTGAGAGGTACTGCTAGTTTGCCCACTGTCTTAATAATTTCTTCTGTTTTTTTTTTCCTATCCTGTGCCACCATAAATTTTTATTTTTCTGTTATATCTTAAACCAGTTTTCTTTTATCTACCATAATATACAAAATATACTTATATAAATATGATATATTTATGTATCATAATATCTAAGACTACTTTCATTATTTGAGACATCTTACTCCTTCAAAGGACTCATTGTAGTAGGATTAAAATATACACAGCTCAAATCTGTAATAAGAAGATGTGGTTTACTTGCTATTATAAATTCATATGGCACCCAAATCCTGCATTCTTACTCATTGTGAAAAAAGAAAAAAATCTTGCCAATTAAAGTAAAACAGTCTTTTCATCTTAAAAGAAAAAAAAAACACCTTTATTTCAGGGATATGTTGAATTGCTTTGTGTCAAATCTCCTTTTTAGATATTCCTCCACATTTAAGAGGTCTAACTCTTGTCATATGGCATCTGACTATAAAGGGAAGCTCAAGTGTCCTCCTGGCATTTGGGAGGGGCATTTGGTCTCCCCATTGTTGGGCCAGTCCTAGTTGCCCTCAAATATGGCCCTGTAAAATGGGCCTTTTAAAGCAGTTAAAGATCAAGGTTCTTTCTAAGCTGAGTCCTCATGAAGGGCTCCATTTATTCTAGCATTCTTCTGGAAATGCAGAACTCCTGGATCTTATTAGGCGGTGGGGGAACTAGAGCTGCTAGATCAGATCCATTATCCATCAAGACACCTCCTTTGATCATTTGTCAGTTACTACTGCCATGTTGTTACAATACCGCGCTGACTTTAAAATCCAGAAGTATCAAAGCTTTCTAGAAATTTACCCGGAGAAGCAAGAAGAGAGTCTGTTTATACTAGACCCAAAGCTTTCTGGAAATATATTTTGTCTTGCTTCTCCCACACCCAGGACTTTTGTTCCAATTTGGAAGCCAAGGTACGTGAGTCCCAATTCCTCTCTATTTTCTTCATTTCAGCACAGAGGGTAATTCCACTGTCCATTCCTTATTAATTGAAATGCCTATACAGTATTCTACTCTCCTTCTCAATCTTCTCTAGGTAGATTGTTCTCCTTTTGGATGAACAAAAAGCTTCATGGAAAAGAAGCCAGCTTGCCAAGTTAGGGAAACACAGAAGGAAGTATACTTCATAATATCTAAGATACCACTGATTATAACATGTGCCATTATTTTATATGCCTTTGCAATGAAAATATATTGTCATTTAAACTGTTGACACACCAATGATTTGAAGACATTTCATTTCATAAATGATAAAACATCTGCATCTGAGAATCTATGAAATATATAGTATTTCAAAAACATATAACCACTTCAAGCCCCTAACTTTATGGGGAGGAGGCTACTATTTTTTCCCATCTATTATTGTTTCTTTATAATTGTACATAATGGTAGGAACGGATACATATTCCTACATAAACATATAATATAATAATATAATTTTGCCACATTGTTCCCCAGTATTTCCCTTTTTCTTCCCTTCTTCTTTTAAGAGGGAAAAATTTTTAAAGAAAATGTACAACAGAGTCTTTTTACCAGAAGACTTTAAACTAAGGAACAGTTCTGTAACTGGATTTGAGATTTAGCAATGAGCTTCCTACAAAGCAATTCAAAAAGGTAATCTATCTTTCATCATAGATAGAGATCTTTCTATACATTTTCTCTTAGCTGTTTCCAACAAGCTATCCATTTATAGTATCTGCACATAATTTTTAAATCTATAACATTAGCCTTGATCATCTTCTCTAAGCTTTGTTTCTTCCTCTCAGATTGTCAGGAGTTAAATAAACAGCCCATGTGCACATTGTACATAATTAATAGAAAAAAATACAGATCCTCTCCCCATCTGTCCTCCTCAATTATTTTAATAGTCCATAGCCAGTGCTAAACCTTGGGGCACTCTTGTTCTGCTCCATCTCATTTGCTCCCATACCCAATCTGTTGGTAAATTCTATGAATTCTACCCTTCCTGTCTTGGAAACTTCCCTTTCTTCTCCCTTACAACTTGTCTCATTCCTTAACATTTAGAATTTTAAGATTCCTATTCAATTTCTTTTTCCTTCAAATTCCTTCTACACACAGATTAATTTCCCCAAATGACAGCTCTAATCTTATTACTGTTCTGATGGTAAATATGGAATTCCTATCCACTCCCTGAAGAATAATGTTAGAATTACTGAAAACAGTATTCAGTTTCTAGCCCCAACCTGCCATTCACAAAGCTAATCTGAATTTATCTTATTCTCTGTTTATAAACACATAGCACACGTTTTTTCTAGCCACATTCTATAATAATGTTCTATCAATCCTTTAAAAGCAACCTCCATGGCAGGGCATATAGCTCAGGGGTTAGAGCACTTGCCTAGCATGTGCAAGGCCCTGGGTTCTATCCCTAGCTCTGAAAATAATAAATAAATAAGCAAGCCACCTCCACAAAGCCATAAATGTCTCTTATTCTCCCAAGCAAGTAATAACCTATTATTATATTATTATTATAAATAACCTATGATGCATCTATTTAGACTTTTCAAAGTATAGTATTTGAGTATGAGATTTTTTTCAGCATTCTAGATAAATTCTCTCTTCGGGCTTTTTTCCATTTGTTTTTCAAAGAACAACCCGTTGGTAACCATCAAAGGACTGCTTAAATTATTTTCTGTGAGGTAAAATTTAGAATTTGTGATGGTGTGGCTTCTTAGGCAGGAAGTAGTTTGGAAAACCTGAATGAAAGTGTAAAATAAGCTTCTTGTAATGTGTCTTCTCAATTCCAAGAAAATAGTTTTTCTTCACTCCATTATTATCCTTTTAAAATAGTCTTAACTATCACTAAGGCCACTGGGCACAAACAGCTGAGAATCATCAACATTAAGCGTGACCCTTAACAACAGAGAGGGAACACCCACAGTTTTTAGGATGTCTTAGGGATGCCTCATTTCAAACACTAAATAACTCCTCATTCTTCATCACTCTGGAAGTCTCTTGTAGGTCCACACTTTTTTCAACCTTTCCTTGACGCTTGATGTTTAACAAAATCCCAAGCACATAGCTTAATAATTGCATCTTTAATGTCATAATAAAGCTGAGATGATACCTCTGGGATGAATATTTATGAACCATCTTCTTTAATAATATTTCATGTAAAGCTTTCTGCTCCATAGGTTAGAATAATGAAAACATATCAGAAGAGGGAGCAAGGAAATGGTTTAAAATACCATCATTGCTTTTACATTAAGATAATAAATAGGCACTTATCTCAATAAATGATACAAGCTCTTCCACTCTTCTCTCTGGAAGTGACTTTCTTGGCAATGCAGAGTGAGGGACAGTCCCTGATTTGATTCATCCTGGAAGATTTTGAATCTCTAGCATAACATGATAAAAATTTGGAAAAAAAAACTTTCAAAGCAGGCAAATTTAAAACTAGATACATAATTATTTACATTATGACCCAAAGCTTTTGAGTGAATTAGAATATACCAAAAACAAAAGGGGAAGCGGACAATTTGACTATCAGTCGTATCTGAACTTTGATATCACATAATGTGAATGAAGAAATATTATACCAAATATTATATCAGAATGCTCACCATTAACCCTTTTCAACAATGTGCTTTAGTGATCTCAAGATTCACACATAACTTTTTACACTTATATTTTGCTTTTCCTTAAGAAAAAAAAAACTTGGTATTTTTATTAAGTTCTGGTGTTCTTAAGAGCGTATTTATCTCTGGAAGCTGGAGCTCTTTACTACCTTAACTAGCAGTATATGAATGGCTATATTGGACGTGTCTTCTGCATTGAATTTGCTTCATTTAGTCATTCATTAAATACTTATTAGGAGTTCACTATTGGCCTCTATACTTCAACTTGCTTTTGATTGGCAATTCACTGTTTTAAAAAATTATCTGCAACTGTAGCATTACATCATGCCCATAGTATAGATGATATACCAATGTCCCATGTTTTCGTGCCTTCCTGTTCCAAAATTTCTGATGTCGCCTTGCTGCACTGACTCTGAACTTGACCATATAATTTACTTTGGCCAATGGGAAAACAGCAAACTGGACACAAAGACACATTTTTGTTTCTTCCCTTTGGATCTCTGCCACAGGCATAAGAAAAGTGAAGACTGGCCTGCTGGCAGATACAGGAGATCTGGGGAGAGTTGAGTCATCTCATCCATCTTACCAGCAGTCAGCTGATGCATGAGCATAGAGCTGACCAGCTAATTCTTTCCTAGACTAGAAACCA